CGCTACTGGATGGATGGAACGCCTTTCGATTACATCAATTGAGGTCCAAAATGGCCGGACAGCGATAGTGTGTGGGCAGATGGATGTGTTCCGAAACTTGAAAAAGACGATACATGGGACGACTATCCGTGCTGGCTTACTAATTTCTGGTATCAACGCGATTTTCAGATTTAACTCATAATACAACAGATTTATTGTTAATTCTTAATGAAACACGAATAAAATTGAAACAGTTGAAACGTTGAAACAATGGTAAAACAACAGTTAAATTAAACAGCACAACCCCAGCGTCCGTGCCGCCGTGAATTCAGTGTCTGCCGGCAGGGGACATAATATTTCGAGCACCGAAGCACAAACATTCACCTAAAGAAGTGCCAGTCATACTACAGATTCCATCTGAAGGCGCGAAAGCCCATAAGTGTTGATGGAAAATATTTTCAATGCACAGAAATAATTTGGGGCAGCGATTATCTTTGCAGAAAAGAGATCTCTGCAGCTTTTGGTGGTCTTATGATTAATGAAAGAACATAGACTCAGCTATAAACGTAGTGGGGCGGAAATCATCCCATCCGCTGTGTAGGAAGTAAACGTATTCAAATGTATTTAAACGAAGCATGCGCTAAAAAGATGCTCATCTTGCCAGTCAGATTGAAACCGAAGTTGTAATTCAAATTCGTTTACAATCAGGGGTGCGCAACACGAGTATCGCAACTCTCGCACTAACCTGGCCGTGTAAAAACCGGGTTTTATCGAGATTCCAGACCAGTAACCATTAAAAACACAGCTCGACGCACCCAGGTTAGTGAGAGAGTTGCAATACTCGTGCTTGGTCTGGTATATCGAACTTACAGAATGAAATCTAAGCTATTCTGCCATGATACTAAGGTTACGCAAACATTGGACATGACATGCAAGCAAAAATTTCACCCCAAAGTATCACTAATCAGAACCCAGGCTGCAACGCACCAGGCTCTCCGGTGCGATCATGCGTTTTTGCACTAAACTCGCAGATCGCTACTAGCAGGAATGACCCCTACGTTGTAGCTTAACACTTGGGCTAATATTGGCCGTGCCTCGATCCTTACCGGCATGCAGGAGGAAGGGCATCAGTCGGGATGAAGGTGGAGCATTATAGAGCCGCACGGACATCTAGGTGCATGATTACCGGTTTTTTGCGTGAAGTCCGGCCGTTTTTTCGGTAAATGCTCGCTTCGTGAAAAAATGACAAATGTAAATTTTTTGAAAAAATGCAAATGAAAAAAATGAAACCTTTTTTCTAAAGTTTTAGCTTCTCAGCTTTCCTGGTTGCTGAGATGATAGTAGGTGAGAAAATGCACCAGGCGAACCACACTGGAACGCACCAGACGAGCCGGTGCATCATGCGCTTTTGCACTAGACTTTTTGAAAATAACCCAGCCGTTCAATGAACAATTCTCCCGCCAAAAATTTAAGTGCCCGTACACGAGAACCACGCACGCCTGGGAGCTGAATTTGATAACTTTAAGTCGTATATGGACGGGAACATTCCCTGAAAAAGCTTTTCTGGTATCCGAATTAATAATTTTCCCCCTAAAACTTTCACACGCCTTTACGTGAGTATCATGCACACCTGAGGGCTGGGTCTGAAATATTTAAATTGTACTTGGACAGGGAATATCCCCGTAAAATTTCAGCCTTCCAGCTTTCCTAGTTGTCGAGTTGGCAATTTTCCCCCCAAAACTTTCACACTCTCTTACATGGGCACCACGCACACCTGAGGGCTGAATTTGAAACCTCTAGCCAGTACATGCCCATACGTGAGAACCACAGATGACTGGGGGCTGAATTTGATAAATTTAAGTCGTATATGGGCTGAACATCCCTTCTGGTACCCAAATTAGTAATTTTCCCCCTAAAACTTTCACACGCCCTTACTTAAGTAACATGCACACCTGAAGGCTGGATCTGAAAAATTTAAGTTGTACTTGGACAGGGAATATTCCCGCAAAATTTCAGCTTTCCAGCTTTTCTGTTCATCGAATTAGCAATTTTCCCCCTAAACCTTTCATACGCTCTTACGTGGGTACCACGCATACCTGGGGGCTGAATTTGAAACCTTTACATGCACAAGGAATATCCTACAAAGTTTCAGCCCCTTAGCTCCTGTAGTTCCTGAGATCGCTCTTCCGCCAAAAAATTTGCATATTTTTTTAAGGCGCCTGTACACGGCGCCCAGGCGCCCGCAGGGGATGATATTAAAATAGGAGGGTCGCGCATGATATGGGCACATATTCCCAAAGTTTCAGCCTTCTGTCTTTCCCCGCTCCCGAGTTATCAATTTTTCCGCCAAAACTTTTACCCCCTTGCACGCAGGGCCCAGACGTGCGTGAGGGATGGTACCGCGATTCTAGGGTGGTACTTGGCCGGAGTACCCAACAGCAAAATCTCGGCGCTGAAACCTGCTTGGTTGCCGAGTTGAAATACCCGGACAGACGAACACACACACATACATACACACAGACAGGGTCGTCGCAATATGCGTTTTTGCTATTTCTATATAGGCAAAAACGCATAAAAAGGGAAGCGTGGATACGCTCTGAGATGGTACAGTCTACCAACCTTTTCATGAGCTAACGGACCAGCATATGTTAGGGCCAGTGCGAACACTACTCGGATATATAACTACGGCTACATCCTTGTAGAAGGGTTCATCGGCGTTGACGAGAAGGCATCGCGTCCCGGACTCAATGCGGCACCGAAAATACTCCGAGGAGTACTGGTCGTCTGATAAATCTAGGGCATCATTTAGATAGATGTATGCTGCTGGCATGATCAGCTAGGGCTTTTCTGTACGGTCTTTGACCAGGCGATCCCAGAGAGTCTTTGACCATTCGGACGTTCGCTGGGGGCATTCGCGATTTTTTTAGGGGAGGGGATG